AAAAAAAAAAAAAAAAAGGGGGAGTCTTTTGAATTGGGGGATGGAGGGGGGAAAAAAGAGCAAACAAAATGTCTATCCATTTGTCTGTTTTTTCCTTACATGAAAGTGGCTGTGTGGATTTTTATCACATGTGTCAGGTAAATCTGGGGGAGAGTGACCTAAGACAGAAGCCATGCAGCAGTCACAGAAGTCACCCCGCGGGGAGCGGTAGCTGGAAGTGAGTTAGGACAAGGGAAGGGGGGACAGCGGTTTGGAAAACTGGGCTGTGTGTGCCCAAGGGACAGACCCACCAGGGCTGGAATGGACTGCGAGCAGCTGGCAGAGGCTCGGTGAGCGGCTGGGCAGGGCTGGGAGACGCAGGGACGCACCGCGTTAGGGAGGGCACGTCTTGCAGGTTGGCCAGGGCAACAGGAGCCCCGCATACCTCCTTGTGCTTCATGGTGAGTGGGCACACATCCCGTGTCAGGTCCATTTGGCATAGGTCCTGCGAGCCGTAGCCATTGACGCAGTAGGCGTCATAGCCGGCGCCGATGAGCATGGAGCAGAGCAGTGTGCTGAAGTCGAAGCAGTTCCCCTTCTGGTGCTTGAGCACCGTGGTGGAGGAGTACAGGTGCGAGGGCTGGCCGCAGACAGCTGGTCAGCACAGCCGGCCCCAAGACCCCCACCCACCCTCCCTGCCCATCCTCCCCACCCGTCCTCCCCATCCATCCTCCCTATTGGCCAGCAGCTAGGCACTAGGCCAGTGCATAGGCTGGATCCCCACCCCTCCCCAGGCTCCCCTGTCTTGTCAAATTGGGGAGCCTGCTAAAAATGGGATGGGAGCCACAGCCCGTGTTTAGAAAGCACAACCCACATTTGCCTGTAATTTTAAGTGCCCGAGGACTTCCTGATGGGAAAGACCCCGTGGATGATGGAAGCTTCTGGTCTAATACTCTCTGATTAATCTTTTAATGGTTTTTATTCCGAAGTTCTCCTCACCTTCTCTTCTGATCCTTTCCTTCTCTTCCCTTTCTCAGTTCTCCACTGTGTACCTACCCCTTTCTCCCTCGCTCCCTCCATTCTCAGTTGGGAAACAGACTAAGCTGGACAGAAACTCAAAGATGGGGCCGCAGGTCACGGGCAACAGGGTCCTCCCCCTCTCTCCTTTCCCCATCTCCTGAAGTCTTAAAAGGAAGACTCTGAAGGCAGAAGGAGGCAAAGGAGGCAAAGTGGTAGGAGCCAGGAGACCAGGCTTGCTGTGTGACCTCAGGCAAGTGGCCATCCCTCTCTGGGCCCATTTCCCCACCCACACCCCCTGGTGTGGGGGTGAGCTCTGAGGGACTCAGACCAGACAGACCATGGGCTGTGGCCTGAGCCTCCCTCTCCCTACCTCCCTGGCTTCTCATCTAAGCCTCAAGGGCCTAAGGATGCCGCTTGAGGCGGCGGCACTCACCGGCTGGAGGGGGTCAGGCAGAGACACCATGGAGAGGAAGTCTGAGACAAACTGGGCACAGCTGTCCCAGTTGTAGAGCTCGGGGTAGGGCATCAGCGTGGGCCGGATGGTTGTGCTCACGAACTTCTGCAAGGGGAGAGACCACAGGCCCCAGAGAGGGCACCCTACCTGGGGGAGGCTGGTGCACCCTGGAAGCCAGAGCCCTAGGGTGGGGGGGGTGGGGAAGGCTCTCCAGGCCTCTCTGGGCCTCAGGCTCCCCACAGTGCCTCAGGAGCTGGAGAAAGGGGTCCCTCAACGCCTCTCCAGGCCGAACTGAATGTAGAATAAGCTTGTACCCCACTGAGCACCACCAGCCCGGGCACCACCTCCTGCTCCCGCAATGGCCGTGTATGTAAGGCCCACTGGCACGTGGGGAAACTCTTAGTTGGGCCTGGGGTCTCCACAACCTCCACACCACAACCTCCCCCACCATCTCCCCCAGGGTAATTCACATCAAGCCTGCTGGGGCCCACTGGCATTTGAGTTTCTGCTGTCCCCAGATACAAGCTCTGATCCACGAGCTTTGGCCCACCCCCTCCACCCTCTGCTTTCCAGTCTCTGTCCTGCCCTCCACAACCCGGCCTTACGGGCACTTGGCACTCGTTCAGCGGGTGCAGGAAAAGGGGCACGCGATCCGGGCACAGGTGGCTGTACTGGCGGGCGAAGTTGTCCGCCACCTGCAGCAAGTGTTCCTCCTTGAGCGTGTTGCTTTGGTAGGAGAGGGGGAGCTTGGAGATGTCGATAGTGTCCTTGGTAACGATCCTGTGCCCATGAGAGGGGAGGCCTGAGCCCATGTGAGGTTGGGCCTGGCCCACAGGGAGCCATCCGCCCACCATAGCTGACTCTATCCCTTTCTCCTGGAATCCTCACAATTGCCCAGAAAAGGGGTATCATTATTACCATGTGCACTTTTGAACAGAGAAGGGAACAGAGGCCCAGAGAGGCTGAGTGACTTGCCCAGGGTCAAACAGTTCATGAGGGGCAGAGAGGGGACTCGGCCCAGGCAGACGGAAAGCAGAGCACTCACACGTATCTGCTTCCCTCTAGGTCCGGTCCTGCCTCCCAACCCTGGGGCCTGTCTAGGCTCTTCTTTTGCCCGGCCCCTGTCTGACCCTCGCCAGGGCTGCCTGGCCCAGAGCCCCCACCCTGACACGCACAAGGGCTGCTCTGGGATGGTAATCTCAATCTCTGACAGCTTCTTCTCCAGGTCTCTGAGCATCTCCTGCGTCATGGGCGGTTCCTCCCTCCGCGTCTCCAGAGGCCTCGTCATCTTCTCGCCCCTCTCAGCTGCCTCTTCCCGCTCAGCCTCCTCCTCCTCCTCCACTTTCTCCTTCAGGACCTCCATCCCGGCACGTCCCTGGCTGTCTCGAGACAGAGTCCCCGTGGGAGGGATAAATGCACTCAGAATGGCCCACTTCTGCCCTCAAGACCACCTGTGTCTCCGGGAGGTGGTTTAGAGGGGGGAAGCGAGCCCCTCTTCAACTTCCCTTCCATCAAGGAGAAAGCCTAGCTTGGGGCCAGCACGTCTGGAACGCGTTTCTAACATTTGCAGATCTCCCTCTGAGACAAAGAGCAGGCTGCAGGTTGAAAGCTATGGTCTGGGCTAGAGCAGGTGCCCAAACTTACCAACATTGCTTTATTTATTTTAACTCACCACTATCTTCTCTTTGTGGCAAGTGATGCTAGAGAGGTAGGGATTAGAGGAAAAAGGAAAGAAAAAAAGGTAATATGACCAAACTTGGAGCCGAGGCCCCACGAAGGCAAGGGCAGGCTGCCACTGGGCACCTGGACAAGGGGCAGGTGTGTGGGGGGTGACATAGCTTGTGCTCTCCGTGTCGAGCCCTGTGTTGACCCACAGGACGGAGGTTGCAGAGAAAGGCTTGGGGTGGGGAGAAACCTCCACACATTTGGTGACCAGAAGTGTCGGGGCTGAAGTGTCCCGGGTGAGAAATAAAGGAGATAGGACACTGAACTGAGTTTTTCCATTACACACTTAAAGAGGCAGTTCCTGATTTGGTGCCCACTTTGCAGATGAGAAAATGGAAACCTAGAGAGGTTAAGGGAAGTCCCTAAAGTCTCAGAGCTGGTAAGTAGCAGATCTAGGGTTTGAGCCCATAGATTTCTGACTCTGGAAACGCTTCAGGGCCTACTGACATAGGGAAGCCCTACAAGGGATGGGGCAGGGGCAGAGGTAAGTGAAGAAGGAAGTGGGGAGAAGGCCGAATTATATGCGGGCAGCAGGGGGTCGCAGCTCTGACCGGCACTGGGACGGGACCTGAGCCCAAGGTCCCAGAACACCTTTATCAGAGGTGGACCGGGCTAGAACCTGCCACACGTATCCCCCACACCGGGCTGCCCTGTCCACTACAGCCCAGTTTGGGGAGGGCAGACCCTGCCCAGAGGCCCTCCTCACCCCGCAGACCCTTTTCTGCACCCCTCCTTGGCAGCAGTGCCCCAACACCCCTTCCCCAGAAAGATGAGGGCAGAAAGCCCCCAAGCAGAAAAAGCCCCCTTCCCATCTCCACTCTACTTCTTACCCTGCCACCAGCTACCTCAGGTCCTCTGCTCCCTCCTCAACCCTCTGAGGACAGCCAGGGCTGTCTGTTTGCCCATCTCCACGGTAACAGCTTTCCAAGCCCAGGGCGGTTCTGGGAGAGGAGGCTTCTGGGAAATGTAGTCTTCCGTCACTGTCCAGGTCTTGGCCCAGAAGACCATCTGTGGTAGGTCACTCAGCAAAAGTGACAGGCTGGAGTCAGTTTGTGCCTGCTCGCAAGAGTTGACATAAAATTTCAGAAATGTTTGCAAGCCAGTTGACAAACTGCCATGATCACACATTAAGTTATGAAAACATAAATAGATGATGTTAAAAACAAGAGTATTTATAACTCATCACTTTTTCATTATTTGACTGCATTTTGCTAGCATTTATGTTCTTGAAGTTACTTATGACTACTGTATCTGTATAATGGAAATGTTATATAAGGGCGAGCTACTCTGAATTTCTTCCCAGCTTCTCTTCAGTGATGTCATCTCGACAGCTTAATGGCAAATGTTGGGGTGCCTGGGTGGCTCAGTTGGTTGGGAGTCCAACCCTTGATCTCAGCTTAGGTCTTGATCTTAGGGTTGTGAGTTCAAGCCCCGCATGGGGCTCCATGCTAGGCATAGAGCCTACTTAAAATAAATAAATAAATAAGCAAAAAAATAAAATAAAATAATACAATAGGCGAATGTTATAGACCAGGGCTTTTTCCTCCTGTGAGCCCCTGTTAACCACCTACCAGGACACCACTGCCTCTGTCCCATGTGCTTTCAAGGCAGATGGAAACCAGTGTGGGTCCTGGTGTGTCTGCTTATCATGGTGAACAGTACCAGGCTGCCTGAGTCTTGGGTTCTAGTCCAGGCTGGGCCTCTGATTTCATCTATAACTCACGAGACAGGGAAAACTTACCCAAAATGTTAGTGCCCATGAAAATTAAATTTAGGGATGCCTGGGTGGGTTAAAGCCTCTGCCTTCGGCTCAAGTCATGATCTCAGGGTCCTGGGATCGAGCCCCGCATCAGGCTCTCTGCTCAACAGGGACCCTGCTTCCCTCCTCTCTCTGCCTGTCTCTCTGCCTACTTGTGATCTCTCTCTCTGTCAAATAAATAAATAAAATCTTTTAAAAAAAAAGAAAATTAATTTTAATCTTTCAAATTCAGAAGAAAAAACGAACAGACTAATGACAAGTACATAATTATGAGTCCACCGTGGATTACATTTGTCTTTGTACCAATGCAGTCAAAAAAATATATTTTTACTTCTTCGTTATTAGAGGAAGGGGCCTATGAATGTCACAGAGCAGCCTTGCGGGGTGTGGCAGGGGAGGGACTGTCTGGAGAAACCCCATCCTGACAAAGTTGGTCAGTTGCAGCCACTTGGGGGAGACAGCAATCACTTCAATTCTCAACAATAAATAATGATTTTAGGGGCGCCTGGGTGGCTCAGTGGGTTAAGGCCTCTGCCTTCAGCTCAGGTCATGATCCCGGGGTCCTGGGATCGAGCCCCGCATCTGACTCTCTGCTCAGCAGGGAGCCTGCTTCCTCCTCTCTCTCTGCCTGCTTCTCTGCCTGCTTGTGATCTCTGTCTGTAAAATGAGTGAATAAAATATTTAAAAAATAAATAAATAAATAAAGATTTTAAATTCTGGCTGGAATAGTACTCAGTCATGAAAAATACAGTGTGAAGGATAAATGAAGCTGAGAGCAAGATCATGGGGCAGCATGTCCTATGATTACTTCTGGGGAATTCCCTTGGGGCGAGGGCGAATGAGAAGGAGGGAAAGGTAAGCAGGTAGTGTGTTTGGCTGATCTCATTTCTTTTGTGTTTTTATTTATTCCCTTTTATCCCTATACCTAATCCCATTCTCTGACCTTCGTAGGCACCTATTCTGATCCATTTTTTTCCCCCAAATGGGCACTGTTTTGCATGCTGCTGTTTTTAACTATGTACATGATACTATGTTAATACCTCCTCCGTTTCTTCTATTTTCACTAAGAACTGTGTTTTTAGTTCCATCCATGTTGCTGTGTGTCCACAGTAGGGATTCACTCTGTTCTCCCAGTGACGGACCCCATCCTCAACTCCCTTTGCCACCAACCCCTACAGATAATGCCACACACATCATCGGCCGTGCCCCTTCTAGACCTGTAAGAGAATTCCTCTCAGGTAAAGGACCAGGAGCAGGACTGCTGAATGAGAGGCAGCTCCCTGTTTTTCTCCAGGCTGTGAAAGCTACACTCTACCCAAGGTCCACGAGGCCTGAGAGATCCTAGTACCCTCACCCCCCACCCAGTAGTTGACATTATTCAGCTTCCTGTCCTGCCCTTGGCCAGTTTCATACAATGAGGATACAGTGATGTCCCCCTGTCATCTTCAAGTGCAACTCCGTGATCACTGATGATTTCCAATGTGTCTTCGTGGGCTAACTTATTATGTTTAGATAGTTCCTTCTCTGAAATTGCCATTTAAAATCTCAGCCCATTTTTCTCTATTAGGGAAGTACCCTTGTTTTGATTTGCAGGCCTTCCAGATGTTAATTCTTGGTTTCAGATGTTGCAAATACCTTCCCCCACTCTGTCCCATGCCTGCTAACGTGGTCTATGGTGTCTTCCACTGAACAGAAAAACGCTTCATTTTGATGTAATGAAATGTACCCGCTCTTGGTCTGATATTTTGTGCTTATGATTTTTTGTTTGAAAAGTCCTTCCTTGTCCTTAGGTCACAAAAATACTTTACTACATTAACTTTATCGTTTTGCCATTCCATCAAGAAACTTTACTCTGCCTGGAGCCCATCTGTGGATAAGAAGTTAGGGAGGGATCCTGTTTTATTTTTCCTCATATAACGAGCCACTTTTCCAACATCATCATGAGACTATCTGTCCCTTATTGGCGATGCCACTATTGTTGTGCCATAAGACCCCCAGGTGTGTATAAATCTGCTGCTGAGCCCTTTTTTCTGCTCCACTGGCCTTCATGCCTATCCCCGCTCAGATCCCATGTTGGATTCACCAGTATGGCCTTGTAATATCTTTACATCTGCAGGTCAAGTCTTCTTTTTACGCTCTCTTTCATTAATGTTAACTTAGGTATTTGAGGGCCATATGCCTCTGTATGAATGTTACAGTACATTTTGGAGGAATCTAAGAAAATACCATTTAAAATCTTTATTGGAACCATGTTGTATTCTTAGGTTAATTTGTGAAGAATTGTTGTCTTTTGATATTATGTTATCCATCTGCGAGCACAGGGCCAGTACATCTTCTTATTTCCTGCACATTTGTTGTAACATAGTGAAAATTACAAGGAATGAAGAAGTTGGTACAGAGCAGAAAGAACCAGGCAGGGAGGCATGGCGGGAGGCCCTCCTTGCAGATGACCACAGTGGCCTGGAGCAAAGCTGTGGATCAGTCACTTTCACGCTGGGCTGGGGGTCCAGACACTGGGCAGCCCTCCCAGCCAGAATGTCCCTGAAGCCTTCATCCATTCTGTGAGGCCCTCACTGCTCTGCCTGCTTTATGGGCTCAGTAGGGGAGGAACTGGCCCAATGAGAGGTGCAGAGGGAGAATGTGGTCCAGATGGGCTGACCTTGGAGTTTGTGCCTTGTGCCTTTAAGCCTAGTGCTGCCCATCTCCCAGATTGCTGCTGTGGTTCTGCGGTGATGGTGGAGCCCCATTCATCTGCACTGGGACTTGGGGTGCGTTTTTACCACCTGCCCTTAGCACGTGCTCAGCTTGGCACTTGGAGCCGCTTTTAGGGTGACCCCAGGTAATGAGGGACCCCAGCCCCTCTGCCCCTACCTGGCCCTGGGCTAGACAGTCAGTGGAAAGGGACACATCCCCACCATTAAGCACATCTCCCCATCTTCCCTCTCCATTGGCACCAGGAAATCCAGCCCATTCAGTGGCTATGGTTTTGTTGCTCCCACATCCAACTGGGAAAGCCAGAGCCTCAGGAGACTCAGGGATCACAGCGGAGGCAATAGTTCTGGAACCCAGGAAATGCTCTGGGAGGAAGAACGGGCAGCTCAGAAAAGCCCAGCTCTGCATCAGCCCTGTGTGCTGAGTAGCCTTGGGCAGGTTGCTGGACCTCTCTGAGCCTCGATTTCCTCCTCCCACACAGGGGGCCGGTCCATTTGGTGTCCACTTGGCAGGGGCTGTAGAAGGAATCTGGAAGGTAGATTTAGCCCTTCATACCCCTCCCATGTCACACACAGGTCTCAAAGGCTCAGGCTTCACACAAGGGGGCCACCTGCTCTTTCTTTAAGCTGCAGGAGTCTCCAATACCAGGGTCTTTACTTTTGCCACCTCACTTAATGCTCTTAGGTCGAGGCAAGAACTTGATGACCTCTATTTTTATGGACGGAGACACTGTGGCTCAGAGAGGTGAGGTGACATGCCCTGCATCACACAGGGCCTAAGTAGCAACGACGGGCTTTGAACCCAGGCCCGTCAGACACGGAAGCAGCTGTAGAGCATGCAGGGTTGTGTTCAGAAACTCTGAGATTTTGGGGTCAGGGAGCCCAGCCCTCCAGTGTGAGAAACAGACATCTGTAAACATAAGTCCCCAAACCCACCAAGCTTATCACAAAACCTGATATAATGTGGCTCTAACTGTTGCAATTGTCCACACCCTAGAATTTCTCTTCCAGGAACCCAGCGGCTTGCATAAAGCAAGGGCCTCTGCCTTCCTGTCTTTCATCCGTTTGCTGGGTGGGAGGAGGGAGAAGAGAGGACATCCACTGGGCATGGGCATCAGGGAGCAGGAGGCGGGATGGCAGCCCAGGGACTGTGGGGGACGGTCTCCTCATAGTGGCTTCTCACCTCTAGCAGGTGCCTGACCTTGGCAAAGCACACTGGCAAGGGCGGGGGTAAGCAGGGAAGGCGAGATGGCCCCAGGGGTTAGGAACTTAAGGTTGGAGCTGGGGCGTGATTGCCTGGGGTGGAGCCACCAGGATGCTGCTGTCTTTCTGTCCCCTCCACTCTTTTTTTCTTTCTTTGTGTTGGTTTATCTGTTGCTTCTCTGTCTCTCTCATCTCTGCCTCTTTTGTTTCCTACTGAGGAAACCAGTAGCAATGTTGTGAAACAGAGGCCAGCCACTGGAGGTGACACAGACCCTCCCCAGCTCAGAACCCTGCTCAGCTGATGCCAAATTCACACATCTAGCTCTTCAGCCAACAGATATTCATTTGGGGCCTGAACCGTGCCAGGCTCGGGCTGGGCTGAGCTGGGGAGTGAGGCCAACATGCCTGCTGCGTGGAATTCTGGGGGAAAAGCCTGCTCTCTCTCCACTTAGCTCCATCTGCGGCTCCCCTGCCCTGGCCCTCGGCCCTCCCATGTGCAGAGCCCTGGACCATTCGCCCTCCAGCCCACAGGGATGGGCGGATTGGAGGTCGGACCACACAAGCAGCCACCAGAACCCGGGGGCAGCCGCTAGTGGTATGACATCCACTACCGAAGAAATGGCATTCTCTGAAATTCCGTGTCCCGGAAGAGCTGGAGGGTTGGCAGCCCCCTGAATGGCGGGAGCTCATCCTTGAAGATAGACCCAAAGCTCTAGTCCACAACTGCCCCAGTGCCTGAGGGAGTGGGGACAGGCAGCCATAGGGTGTGGGTGTGGGAGGGCAATGGAAGGGGGAGGAAGGGAAGAGGCTGGGATCCTTCAAGGGGAGACCAGAAGGTGGCCAAAGGCAGAGATGAGCTGCTTGGTTATGAAGGCAGGAGGTGGGGGTGGGAAGAGGGGGCGGTACTGGCAGGGGTCTTCAGGTGGGGGTAGGGATGAGGGGGCACCTCTCTGTGCTGGCAGGGGTCTTCGGGGAATCAGAAACTTAGATTCCTACTATCCTTGATTCGTGGACTTTAGGACCCATCAAAGTATCTGGACGGAACCTTTGAGGCCAGGTGGTCCCCTCTGGTTCCCATCTCCTCCCTCCCCAGCCACGTTGTAAAAACACGGAAACTGAAGCCCAGAGCGAGACAGGGAGCAGCCTGAGGCCACATGGGGAGTCAGAGCTGAGTCCAGAACGTGGGGCCGGCTCCCAGCCTGACCCCACGGAGGCCTCCTATTCATGAAACGTGGTGTGGACCTGGTCAGCTCGGGGCACGCTAGAGGAGAAGGCCACGGCGCTCCGGCTGGGGAAGTAGAGCGTGGTGAACCAGCAGAAGATGAAGACACCTGTTGGGAAGGAGGGGGCCTCCGTGAGCCTGTGTGTGGACCCTCCGGGGCGCTGGGCAGCCTGGCCAGCAGCTGCACAGAGACAGTTCGCTCCATTGCAAAAGTTCAAGAACTGATGGAAAGAAACATCGGGCAAAAACTAAACCGACGCCCAACCAAGAACCAAAGAGAAATCTTGGAAGAGAGAAACGGAGGCCCTGACAATCACATAAGACGTACATCTATCACAGAAAGGGAAGAGTGAAATAAAGGCGTTTCCATGCAGACCCAACAGCCAGCCTGGCTTCTGCTATGCTCCGCTAAGAGTTATTCCCGGACTCACGCCAGCAGGAAGAAGCAGGAAAGTGGGAGGTATGAAAATTAGAGTAAGCACAGAAATTGATAGAAAAGTCAAAATGCTGTGTAGGTTTAAAAGGAGTTTACAACTAAAACTCGAAACAACCACCAAATGATGGAGACACATTCAAGCGCACTAAGGACCACTGTGTTTGGAAGAGCAATGTACTGAGGCGCTCGCACTCAGATGAGACAACTCCATAGAGTGAAGTGTTCAGGCTTAAACACAAAAGGAGGCCCCTGGAAGAATAATGACACAGTCTAGTTTTAAGGTGCCTCCCCTCCCCAACCCCGGGATGTCCCCGATACAGACTCATGATTCTTCCCCGGGGGACCATCTGTGTCTTCCACAAGCATTAGCTCAGTTACTCATCGCAAAATCTGATGAGAAAAATACCAGCTTTGTCCCAGCTTTAAAGATGATCGGAGGGGCTGGGGGACTTGCTGAGGTGGTATGTGGAACCAGGGTTCCCTTCCGGGTCTGCTTATCCCCAGGGCCACCCAACCGCAATGCCACATGGCCTCAGGAGGCCCTGGGAGCCAGCCCTGTTTGGGTGGGCCTCGGGCCACTGGCTGTAAGACTTGGACTCAAAGTCAAAGCACACCTCATCAGTCCCTTCACAGTGGTTCGTCTTAGGCTGTGATGCCTGTGTATGACATTGTGTGGGGAGCGAAGAGGAAGGGGGAGCCATCAGTCACACCCCGGACGCCTGGCCCTCTCCTACCAGAGAGTAGGACTCAGGGCTCGATCCCGACCCCTGGATATCGGAGGAAAGACCCTGCAGGGGCAGGGAGCACAACTATCAGTCATTTCCTCTGCTAATCACATCCTTCTGCCACCACAATTCCTTACAGACCATCTGCGTCATGTGCCCGTCATGTCACGTGCCCCTGACCTCCTGGTCACAGCTGCCTGGACCAGAGGTGGACACCTAGCCCAAGATGGCCTGATCTGATCCTTGACTCTCCTGAGAACACAGACCAAGCTGAATCAAACCACACGCCAGGGAAGGTTACATGGGATGGAAAAAAACATTTGGGACCCTGGGTGGGAAAGGGCCAGTGAAGAGAGGGAAGGAGTTTGCACAGAGAGAGGGTAAGACACTACACACAGCTCTGAAGAAAAAATAGGGGAAGTGTCTGCTTCAGTTGGGTGGCTGGTGCCAGCTCCCAGGTCAGCCAGCCTGAGCAGAATCCTATGTCTTGCCATCCACCCCTCTCCATCCCCCCAAAAGACCCCCTAACAGATTAGGCGAAGCATCACACACCTGGCCCCAGAGCCTCACCTTGCAGGGAGTTGAAAAGTGCGAAGATATAGATGGTGGGCCAGCCCAGCGGCATGAGGATGGCCAGCCACCACGTGGCACCCACCAGGCTTGAGAGCCCCAGCACGGTGAGGACCCCCTTCCAGTTTGGTTCCTGCTCCTTGCCCGCTGTGGCCCTCGGCAGAGTGAAAATCTTCCAGGCTACCAGGCCCAGCACCACAGCGCTGAAGAGGGAGGTGATGAGGAAGTAGCCGTGGACAGTGACATAGAGGGCAGAGACAGCCGTATTCTCCTGGAACCAGCACCTGGAGGAGGCAGACGGCCACCAGGGCTGGAGATGTGCCCCCACCCAGCAAGTCCCCGGCACTCTCCCCTGACCGACTTTCTGTGACCCAAAAGACCCCTTCCCCCACCCCACCCCCCACCAACCCCCCATTCTCCTGGGGAGGGGCTGTCATGAGGCTCCAATCTGCCATCTCTTCAGACCAGCAAGTGCAAAGGAGCCTATTTGGCCCCAAAACATGTTTGGTTTACCCCACATTGTATTGTAAAAAAAATTAAACTAATGACCACCCTTTAAAAAGCGTGAGGTTTGGCATAAGCATCCAGATTTCTGCTTTCCTTTTTTTTTTTTTTTTAAGATTTTATTTATTCATTTGAAGGAGAGTGAGGGAGGAAGCATGAGCGGTGGGAGGTGGGGGGTGAGGGAATGGAGAGGCCAAGAGAGAAGCAGACTCCCTACTGACCAGAGAGTAGGACTCAGGGCTCAATCCTAGGACTCCAGAGTCGATTCCAGGACCCTGGGATCATGACCTGAGCCAAAGGCAGATGCTCAACCACCGAGCCACCCAGGCGCCCCTCTGCTTTTCTTATAAAAGCATACAGCTGGCAGCTCTGTGCATGCCTCCCCAAGGCACATTAGGTAGGTATGCGACTGGCTATCTACTACAGTCCCCACCTGGGCCCCTGCGTGCACATATGTCACCTCCCCAGCCCCTGTGGCCCCTGTATTTGAGGCTCTAGGGACAGGACCAAGACCCCACCAGCCTCTCTTAGCACAGAGCCATGGGCCCTGGGGAGGGTACCTTGGAGAAGGCTCACTCAGCCCCATGCTTCCTGCACTGCAGGGCAAAAGGCTCAAGAGAATGTCCATTACCACCCCCCACCCCAGTACAAATGAGGAGACTGAGGCCCCAGGGGAGGCCAGGCTAGCCCACATAGAAATTCAGAGGCAGCACCTAGCTAGAACCAGACCTGCCACCAACGTGGGGCAGCTTGTGTCCTGCACAAGGGCACCTGGCTGGGGTGGGGGGGGTCAGGCTGAAATCCAGCTCACCTCCCATTCCCCAGGCTGAGCCCCTGGCATGGCAGGTTGGCAGAGTGGGGAGGGATGGGATACCTTTTTAAATCTGCCCAAAGGTGCCATAGGGGTTGGTGGTGGCCAGGCTAGAGCAAGGCATCCTGCCACAGCTCACTCTCTCCTGTCTCAGACCCCCGTCTCATTGCACTTTCTTCTTCCAGTCCTCAGTTTACCCCTCCAGACTGTGAGCTAGCTGGAGAGTCCTTTGCCTTGGCTTGGTCTCTCTTCCCAGGATCCCCTCCTCTCCCGACATCCCACTGGCCCAGTTGTGTGCAGCCAGGGGCCTGATGTCACCGCTTCCCCCCCGCCCAGCCCCTCTTACAGCTCCAGGGTGGTGGCGTTCCTCTTGTCGCGGATGGTGTAGCGGCCATAGCTGTCCGCAGTCCCGGTGCCAAACACGATGAGGGCAGGCAGGCCTGGGTACAACGGGGGAGGAGGTACGGCATCGCTGGGGCTCCCTTGGCACGTCCTCCTCCAAAATCCCCTCCAGCTGCCCGTGCCTCAAGCCCTGAGCCTGTCTGAGAGAGGGAGACACCTCTCTGCCCTAAACAGGTCTCCCTCCCGCCCCTCCCTCCACCGGCCACGCTCTCCGCGCCACCACCCCCACTCCGAGCTACACCTACCCCAGCCCACGAAGCTCAGCTTCAGGAAGTAGTGCCCAAAGTAGGTGTTGAAGACCTTGATGACGAGCAGGTAGAGGTGGAAGGCTTCCAGGCCCATCCAGGTGAAGGTGCAGAGCAGGAAGTAGTGGAAGACAGCCGCCCGGGCCTGGCAGGTGGCACCCGACAGCTGAGGACTGTGCCCCATATTGAAGAAGAAGGTGAGATTCAGGAGAAATAAGCTCATACTCAGGGCCACATGGATCTTGGGGGTGTCTTCTGACTTGAACCTCTGCCGGTAGCACCTGGGGCAAGAAGGGCCCATGAGAGGCAGCAGGAGGCAGGGCCGCAGCTCCAGTCGGGGAGGACCTGCACCGCAGGCTCCCCACCCCACCGCCCCTGGTCCGCCCGGCCAGCCCCCCGAGGGAGCTCTCTCTCTCTCCTGGCTCACGGGGCCCTGGGGGGGGTCCACGTCCCGCAGGCCTCATCCTCCACGCCGTGCTAGTGCCAAAACGCACACTTGGCAATTCCCTGACTGCATCCTGCTTTTTCGCCCCTCCCAGACTTCGCCTCTGCTCTGCTCTCTGCTCTCAATGCCTTTTCCTACTCTTCCTTCAGAAACTTCCCTGGGCATTTCCTCCTCAGGAAGCTGACTCTGAATGCCACTTAGCCCATGCTGATCTGGAAGTTTCCTGCAGCGCAGGGTAGCCCCCTCCCCTCCCCTCTGACTGTAACCAAGAGCCAGCACAACAGGCAGCAGGGGGGCCTGCCCGCATTATTTGAGTGAATAGACCCACCAACAGGGCACAGAGGTAGGAGGCCAAGACGTAGTAGGGTGAGGCCCAGAGAGGACAGGGACTCACTCCCTCTCTGTGGAGCTCCCACTCAGAATTCCTAGCAAATCAGATTCTGAGGGCTCTCACTGGAGGAATAGGAGCCCAGGTGCCTAGATGGGAGTATGAGGCATTGTGTCCATCTCACCTGCGATGTCAAGGCCCACCCATGACAGACGGTGACAAGTCCTCCCAGCGTGCCAGGCCTGGCTCACGAGGTCCACCAGTGTGGCCAGCTGGCAAGTCCCACTCACCTTGTTGGGAACGGGGACTGTGCTCCAGGACCGGGCTCGGTGGGGGGCAGGGCTGGCACTGCTCACACTCATGCTTTAGTCTGAGATGGGGGTGGGAAGGCTAGACAGGGCTGCAGCCCAGGGCCAGTTGGGGACAGAGGCAAAGAGGCACGTGGAGAGCCCTGGACTGGACCCAGAGAGCCTGAGCACAGGCCACAGCGATCTCTGCCTGTCCTACACCTGCTCCTCCTTCTGGAAACAGACCTGCGTCTCTGAGAAACACCCTTCCCTGCTGGCAGGCCTGACGTTTGGGGTGAGGTTGGCCTTTTGTTGGCTCAAATCCAAGAGCAATCACATGACCTGGCCTGGCCAATCAGTGTCATCAATCTCTTGACCACAGTGGCCTGTTCAGTCATGGACACGTGACCCAAGTGAGACCAGCAAAACTCTGCTCTGGTATACGCGGGATAAAATTGCATAGAAACCCCCTCCCCACCCTGCACCACACACACACACAAATGCATGTAAAAATTTACAGAAGATGTCCTCTGGCACTGTACCAATGTCGATTTCCTGGTTTGGTATGATACTACAGTTCTAGAAAATGTTATCACCAGGAAAAGCTGGATAAAGAAACCAGGGGACTCTATACAGTATTTTTGTAGTACGATTATATCAAAATAAAATGTTGAAAAAAAAAGGCTTCAGTGTTGGAATTTGGTATAGAAAATTTGCTGCCTAGCAAGCTAAGAAGCTGTGAGACAATCCCTGGGCTTCCCAAGGCCCCTGAGAGTGAAGAAACTGCTTCACATGGCTGACAAAGGAGAAAGCAAAGTTGGGAGAGGCAGAGGGAGAGCAAGTCCGAGGGACATCTTTTGAGCCCCTGGATCCAACCATGCCTGAAGGGAGCATCATTCCACCAACCACATATTCCCCCATTGTGTTTAAGTGAATTTGAGTTGAGTTCCTGCCACTACCAACTGAAATAGCTCTGACACATTTCAACCCCCAACCCTATTTTATAGATGAGGAAAGTAAAGTTTGGAGAGGCTATCAGTATTATGCTGCACAAGCAGGGAGCTTTCTAACCTGTTCTGCTCCCACCCTTGAGGACAAGCGGGAGACTTGGGATAGGGGTGGAGGATCACCCACCTTAGGGCAGCGTAGAGGACAATGGTAAAAGCCAGGAAGGTCATAGAGGCTCCACAGCCAGCCTGGGAAATGCGAATGAGGAACTGGACGGTGGCCTGGTCCAAGATCGGCTTCTGTGGGCGACCCCCCCCAAACCGGGACCCCATCAGTTGGAGGCCAGGCCTCACACATCCCAGAGGCCCTGGACGCTGCCAGGAAACCTCGGTGCCTCCAGAACTTCTGGGATCAGGGTGGGTGGGCCCTTACCAGCAGCAAAGCAAAGAAGGTCAGATGGTCACAGCGACAGATGGTCCTCTTGGCTCTGAGCTCCGTGGAGCAGCCCGTGGAAGACCAGTCTCCTGTTGACCGTGGAGAGGAAGGGCAGGGAATGTAGGGGAGTGTATGAGAATATGGGGGAGTGGAGGGGACCAGAGAGGAAGGGAGGGAGGAGAGAGGCCCCCACCTGTGGATCTCTGCCCCCACACCCTCCCTTCCTACCTTTAGTAGCATCCCAGAACACACAGCTGAGGGCCATGTTCTGAAACCAGAGAGTGGGAGTCAGGGGGAGGCAAGATGAGGCAGGGGGAGGTTGGGAGAGAGGAGAGCAGACTGCGGAGAAGGGAAGGGAGAGGACAGGGTGCCCTACCCCCACCCCTGGGGTGTGCATTGGGTAGGAAGCAAGGCTCACCCCACAGGTCACACAGGACCATGAAGTGCACCATTTGGTGTGCGTGGATCAGCATGTGAGAGATGTGGACACTGTGGGGCTGCGGCGCGGGGAGGGTAGCATGTCTGTATACATGTGCCTTTAGGGGAGTGTATATGTGGGTGGGCATGTAATCCCATGTGCGTGCTCATGGGTTTGCCACGTCCTTGGTGCTCCTCTGTAAGCACGAGTGGGAGGGTGTCTGTGGGTCAAGTGGACATTCGCGTGCAGGTGGCATGGGTCCCTGGGCATCCCCGTGTGTGTGGTCTTAGTGGCTGGGGGGATGTGGAAGGCTGAGAGGTGCAGAGTCCTGCGCCTGTCTATCCATATGCTTGTACGTGACCCCCTGCCTGTCTGCCCCTCAGAAGCTGCCAGATTTGGGTCGGGGGCTCACAGGGGGTAGGTGCTGGTGGGAGAAGGTGATCTCCAAAGGCTCAGCCAGCCTTCTGACAGGTATACGGCCCAAGCTCAGGCCCACCAGGCGATTATTCAACACGCGGCTGCCATCCTCCAGGCTGAGCTGGGGGCCCTGTGGAGAGAGATGGGGGGCCGGGCTTCAGAAGGCGCTGTCCCAGCCCAGCATTGATGGGGGTTCCTGGGAACCTCCAGGACCCATGGCCCTTGCCTAGAGAGCAAAGTCTGTGGCTAGGGGACCAGGGGACCCAGGGACCATGGGCAACCTTCTTCTCGCAGCCCCCTGCAGTCTCCTGCTCGGGCTGGATCACAGGGAGCCCCGCACCCCAGGCCGACTGTCGCAAAGCCATCCACCCGATAGCTCTCCAATGCTGGCCCCAGAGCTCCTCTGCCCTTTGAGCCGGAGGAGCACAGGGCTGGAAGAGAGATCAGCCCCAAATAGAGGTTACTTATGGTGCACTCTATCCACATGTGAGTACATTACATGCCTCTGAAGATGCTCGCCCAGGACCCATTTGCAAGAACACAGGTGCACTTGCCTGTGCGGACACAGTCACACGGGAACACGTGTGACAGCATGTGCACCAGGAGTATGAAAGAACATGCACGTTTGTCCATGCACAAGGACACACAGGGGGATACAAGCACTTGGGCTACACATACAAGTCCAAGGACACGGACGTGTGGATCCAAACATCTGAGTGTGACCAGTGTGAGTGTGCAGCGCACAGACTCCAGAGACAGAAGTCTGAGGTGACCTCAGGCTGCTTTAGAAACGCTCTCCACAGGCTCATCCCCTCCTTCATCCCCATGGGGACCCACAGCCAAGATTCCAGAGAAGGCAAGCTGGGGCACAGGGCCCTGGTGAACCGAGCATTGACCCACTGAGCTGCCCTGAGCCCCCACTAGGCCTCTCCTCACCTTGAACAGATTCCCCGGACCAATGTCCAGGATAGTGATGGCCAGCAAGACCTCCGACCTGTTCTCCTGCAGGGATTCAAAGAGACTCCTGGGCAGCCGGACTCTGTCGGGGTGTTCATGCTCATCCTCTGTCACCAGCCCTGGAACCTGGAACCACAGACCCCAGAGCTCCTATCTCTACCCCAGGCTTCCAGCCCCCAACATGGGGCTCTTGCCATTCCCCCACTTGGGAGGGGAAACTAAGGCACCGGGGGGAGGGGCAGAACCTGAGGGCATCACTCTGAGAGGCAGGACGGAGCTTGGCTCCGTCCAGGCTGTGAGCCTACAGAGAAGCCACGGCCCTCATGGACCCTCAGTTGTCCCACTACGGAGAATGGGGCTAACCAGGTAGCTGTGTGACCTCCCGTCACAGTCAGGCTGAGTGGACGGTGAAGTTCAACCGGCAAGTGTGGGGGGGGGGTCGGCTGTGGTGCACTTCTGGCCTGTGTCCTGCCAGCCACTGTGCTTTCACAAGATTTAGGATCATGGTGTCTGGGTACTGACCTGGGAATAACTGGTAAGAATAAAGCCCCCAGGAAGAGAGACGGTGTGAGCAGAGGTGGAAAATATAAAACTTCACATGGAATGTGATTTCCACACCCTGCCCAACAGCAAGTTTTGTAAAAGCGAACAATGGTTAAAATAATAAAATAAATTTCATTGGTGATTTGTTCACTCTTGACCTCACTGGTCCATTGGGCCTGTAGCCTGGTCTCACCAGGTCCTGCCTCAAAGGCATCCTATGGGCGCTGGAACAGAAGGAGCTAAGGTTGGAGGCAAGGGACCCAACTTTCTCCTTCTCAGTCTGGACCCTTGTCAAAGGACGTGAGGTGATCTCCAGGGCCAGCGGGTGCCTCCACACAGAGGATGGGTCACATCAATAAGGGCCCTATCTTTCATGTCCTCTTTTCCAGACAGATCTAGAAGGACCTGGATGATGGCCAGCTTGCCTGTTTCCTGAACTTCCACACTCAGCTTCACCCCTTTAGGGAGGCTGCACCCTGCCCCTTGCACCCAGCACTCCCAGTGCCTTATCTCCCACAACCTTGTAAGTGGGCCATGCCAGCACCATTTTGTAGATGGGGCAACCAAGGCTCAGAAAATTCCAGTCATGCACCCAACATCACATTAGCTGGTAAAGGGCAGAACTGGGACTTGAATCCAGACCCGTGTAAATCTAGAGCTCATCTTACAGATGAGAGCTCTGGGGCCCAGAGAGGGGAAGGGGTTTCCTGGAAAATGCCCAGTAAAGGGGTGGGGAGTCCAGGACTGGAACCCAGATCCCCTGACTCTCAACTGGGTGGTCTTCCGAATTATACCAGCCTCTTGCCCTGAGTCATCTGTCACCTGGATCCACCCACCCAAGCAACTCACTAGCACCATTAGCAAAGTGACAGAGCACTCTCAAATGGGACATACGAGGGATAAGCTTCAGTGGGCACCCAACACAGACCAGGAGTCTCTCAGAATTCTGAAAAATATGGCAGAGGGAAATGGAGTCAGAACCAGCCAACAGGGATAGGGAACTCTTTACCTGGGAAGGCGTCAGGGAGAAGAACAAGTCTTCTGAGATGTGGGTGCTGACATTCTGGACAGCAGCCTTCAAAAAAGACGTATTCACTATGCTCATCGGACTCTCCAGCAGATGGTACTCGAATTTCAGCCAGTACCTGCCATTAGAACACCGGCCAGCCAGAAGCAGCAGAATGAGATTGTTGAAACCCATTGACTGAGCTACACAAAGTGTCTAGCTTTTATATACCTTTTAAAAGTCTAAATAAAGAAGTATTGTGACTTTCACTGTTACCAAATATAATAGTGAATTATAATTATATATATAAGCACTTAATTGTATTTCTCTCTATATATAAATACACACATATATATTTGCATAGATATATGCACTTAAAAATTCTTTGGCCTCACAAAACAATGCAATTGCCTTTCTTGAGGGAAGATTTCCTGATTTGGTTCTCAGAGCACCTGAAAATTATTTTAGTTGTGAAATGTAACACAGAGTCAGAAAGTCTAAAGCATAGATGTAAAGTTGAATTTTTAGTGACAAAGTCGACACCTGTTTAAACACCATCTTCTTTGATATTAGCATAGCCACGCAGATATCTTTGGTTCATGGTGCATGAGATTTGTTTTTCCACACTATCCTTTTTTTTTTTTTTTTACATTGTAAATGGTGTGAGGCTCAACAACTTGCCTTCACCCTCAGAATGGATATCATGATGTTCTCCAGACCTCTGAATGCCCAGAAAATTCCCTGAGATGAAGGGCCCCTGAATTCTTGTGGGGTTTACTTCCCATCCTCTAATCCACATCTGTTTCCCTAAGGCATCTTAACTACTTGCTAATTTTGCTCATCAGATCCAATCCCCATGATGTTGCCAACATAGTGGCCAGAGTGACAGTGCTCTGTAGAGTGTCAAGATTACTAAGGTTTCTGTGAACTGAATGACGACAGAGATCAGCAGAATTGACAGCGCAGAGGAAACCATGGTAGTCTACTGTTGGCTCTGCCAGGTCAAAGTAAACAATTTCCAGTAGCCCTTGAAAACTGGGATAGAGAACAAGGCATTAGCCATGGAACGTGTCAGTTGCCAGGGGTTGTGTTGATTTCCTCTGGGACCACAGCTGCGATTGGACTCACCGCCCGATTTTTTTTTTTAAATTTATTTGACAGAGAGAGAGAGAGATCACAAGTAGGCAGAGAGGCAGGCAGAGAGAGAGGGGGAAGCAGACTCTCCAACAAGCGGAGAGCCGGATGCGGGGCTCCATCCCAGGACCCTGAGATCATGACCTGAGCCAAAGGCACTGAGCCACCCAGGCACCCCTCACTGCCTGATTAAGTGTAGGATAGTCCACAGGCATTCCCCAACGTCCAGCTGGCTTCTGGTGAGCTAAGATCGGCAGTTACGATGAGTTATGATAGGCATCACCGCCCCTCCCCTGCATCTCTCAAGTCCTTTATGGTGGCGTTAATCTCTGCAGTTCTCCCCAGGGACATACTTTGGTTTCTGGTTTACTATCTTGGTAGGGAGAAGACATTCCAGGAGCTGCCATTTAGCTCATCAATGGAATGCCCTCCCAGAGGCAGTTAAGTGGAGAAAGCATTCTTTTCAATAAATGGTGTTGAAATAATTAGATATCCAAATGCAAATAATCATAATAATAATAATAAAGACATCTACTTCATACATGTATAAAAAATTAACTCCAAATGTATAACCTAATTTTAAGAGCTAAAACCACATACACTTATAGAAGAAAACTTAGAAAATCTGTAGCTGGATAAATGTTTCTCTGATATGATATCAAACACAAACACACATTTAAATCTGACTTCCTCAAAATTAAGTGCTTTTGATCTTCAAAAGATATCATTGAGAAAACAAAGAGATGAGAAATACACTGAGAGAAAATATTTGCAAATTGACATCTGATAAAGGACTGGCATGTAGAATACATGAAGAATTCTTAAAACTCTGGATGCCTGGGTGGTTCAGTCAGTTAAGCATCTGCCTTCAGCTCAGGTCATGATTTCAGGGTCCTGAGATCGAGCCCGGCATCAGGCTCCCTGCTTAGCAGGGAGTCTGCTTCTCCCTTTCCCTCTGCCCCTCCCCCTGCTTATGCTCTCTCTCTCTCCCTCTCTCAAATAAATAAAATCTTTTTAAAAAGTAATTCTTAAAACTCTGTAATGAGAAGACAAAACCCAATTTTAAAAAAGAAAGATCTGAGTAGTCATTTCTACCAAAGAAAAGATACAAATGGCTAATCACCACATGAAAAGACACTCAACATCACTGGTCATTTCTGAAACACAAGTTAAAACCACAGTGAGCTACCACTGGCACCAGACGGCCATAATAGCCGAGAAGACTGACAATGCTGCAAAAATGGACTAGAACGACAGCCCTCTTTCATGCTGATGGGAAAGCAAAAGATACCCTTTGAGGAACAGATGGGCGTTTTTTATAAAGCAAAGCATATCAGATATCCCAGCAATTCTGTTCCTAGGCATTTACCCAAAATAAACGAAAACGTACATCTACAAAGATCTGAATTAAACATTCATGGCAGCATTATTCATAATCATTATATTCATAATGAATAATATTCATTTGGAAACAATCCAATTGTCCAACAACTGATGAATGAATAAACAAATCATAGCATGTCCACACAATGAAATATTACTCAGTGATTAAAAAAAAAGAACAAACTGTTGATACAGGCTAATATATGAATATAACTCAAAACCAGTGTACGTGAAGGAAACAAGACTCAAAAGACAGTATGTTTTATGATGCCCTTCTAGAAAACACCCAGAAAAAGCAAATCCGCGGAAGTAGAAAGCAGATGAGTGGTGGACAGTAGCTGGGGATGCGAGCCCGGATGGCTTGCAAACAGGCACAAGGGTCCTTTGAGGGCTGGTGGAAGTGTCCGTAAAATGATCGTCTTAATGGTTCCTTATATTGCATTATATACCCTAAATTATTCAACCATGCTCTAACAATGTATAGACTGGATAGTATGTAAGTTGTACCTTCACAAAGCTATCAAAATTAATAAAAAGAAATGAGGTACCACCATATCCTTTCCAGAATGGCGAAAACCAAAACGACTGGTAATACCAAGCATCGCAAGAACTTTCACACTTTGCCAGCGAGGGTGTAAACTAATGTACCCACGCAGAAGACTTCAGCAGTGCTGACCAAAATTCATCAGACATCTACCTTTTTTTTTTTTTAAAGATTTTATTTATTTATTTGACAGACAGAGATCACAAGTAGGCAGAGAGGCAGGCAGAGAGAGAGGAAGGGAAGCAGGCTCCCTGCCAAGCAGAGAGCCCTACTTGGGGCTCAATCCCAGGACTCTGAGACCATGACCTGAGCCAAAGGCAGAGGTTTAACCCACTGAACCACCCAGGTGCCCCAGACATCTACCTTTGACATCACTGCCACTCCTAGGTACCCACCCAAGAGAAATGAATGTAGATGGTCATGAAAAGACACGTACAAAAATGTTCCTGGCAGCTTTATTCGTAACAGCCCTGGTTAGAGACGAAATGTTTGTGCCCTCCCCGCAAATTCGTACGTTGAAATGGGTTGATGCCCAGACTAACTTTATGGGGGTGTGAAGATAAAGAAGGTTAACTGCTAGATTTGGGAACAGAATCCACATCTTCTGACCCCAGAGTCCCTGCTTTTTCCAAAATGCGTATTGCCACCATAAGGCAGCACAGAGAAGAATTCCCAGAACAGCCTCCTGGAGCAAAGAAGCTAATGGAGGAGGTTCGGTACAGGGGGTAGCAGTGTTTTCAGGTCACGGAAATGACATAATTCAATCAGATTGTTGTCCTAACACTGAACCTGAGAACATAGGGTTTTCGTTTGTTTTTTTTTTCAAAAAACGTGCATTGAGCACCAGCTATGAGCTTGTCCCGAGTATCTTAGAATGATGGCCAGCTTTGATTCAGAAAGGAGGAGAGAGAGGCAAAAATATTTTTGAACCTGATTCTTTGAGATGTTATGTTCTAAACCCCTTCTTCTCCCTCAACCCCGTATCTCTGAACCTGTTGGTCTTATCAGTCTCTTGGTCTTACTGGTTCTATATCATATGATATTTCTAATCTATCCCTCCTTTGCAGATGTGCAGTGCCAGTTGGTGGTGAAGGTGGTGGTTCAGCCTTCACACCTACCCAGACCATGCTTGGATCCTACCTGGTCATGTCTCCTGCATCACCACCCTTGTACCCTTCCCTGAAACCTGAGCAATCTTTCTCAAATGCAAAACTGACCATGCTCTTGCTCTGTTTAAAATATGTCCTTGCTCTACCCCCTCCCACGCTGGTATAGCTTACCTGACCCTTCATACTCTGCTCCCTGCTTGTATTTCTAGCCTATTCCCTACCCAATCCACCTCCCCATTGTTGCTGCCATCCCCAGCACCTCACTTTTTCACATTTCAAAGCACTGCTGTTCTCCCCCAATACTCCCTGCAGTTCTGAAGCCTGTAGCTCCTAACATCGCTCAGATCCAACTAGAAAACTCCTATGCAGTCTTCAAAGCCTTTTTGTGAATCACCTCCTCTGTGAATCCTTGGCAGTCTTCCTTTCTCTGAGCTAACCTGGCGCCTTGCCCACCCTTTTCTATGATTGCTCTCTAGAATCATTATCATTTGGGCCTGTGTCTGACCTTCCACAGTGGTAGGGATGGAGGCTGGTTCATCTCTGCAATCCTTGGATCAGAGAAGTCTCAGTGAGTGGATTGGAGGGAATGTGGGTATCAAACAAGAGAGTGGAAAGATGAGATGGGAGTAGCGTTTTCAGAAGCCATATGAGCTGAGAGCTTGGTCCCTTCCTAACAGCCTCCCGGCTGCCTTCAAAGGAGCCCCACATTCCTGCTCTAAGTCAGAACGCCCTCTTACCTCTGCAAGTTTTCCAGGTCACAGGGTTCATTCCCTGACTCTGAGCACTTTGTGAAGCAGTCAGCAGTGTTCTCCAGGTGGAAGTCTTCATACTGGTCCTTATTGATGAGCCCCAGGCAGACGTTTCTTGATTGCTCAGTTTTCCTCCTCCATTGCTCACTTATTTTGTTAGAATTTTTCATACCTGAAGGAGGGATGCCGAAGGTGTGAATGGGCTGGGTGGGGAGGCAGCAAGGGAGGAGGTTGGGGGTAAGATGCTCAGGCTCCAGGGTCTGGTGATGTGGGCTAGAATTTCAGTCCCCTCCATTCACGCTAAGTGTACTTGAGCTGGACTCACTCTCCCTGGGCCTCAGTTTCCAGGGCAAAAGGAGATATGACCCCCCACCTCATAGGGCCAGTGGGATGTTTTGCAGAAGATATGTACAAAGAGCTTGGCACATGGCTCTGTCGATTAAAGGATTCATATGTCAGTACTATTACCCTTTACCACCTCCTCCAGGAAGTCTGCTGGGCTTTCCACAGCTGTTCCACATCAGACATTCCAAAGCCCTTGCAACTGTGGCCTCATGGTATAACTCTCGGGCGTGTTCTATCTCAGTTCACCTCTTTCTCCCACATTCTCATTATGACCCCCACAAGCTACCTCCTGGGGTGAGGAAAGAACACTGAGGGTCCCTGGAGCACAATGACTTGAGCAATGGCACCAACGGGAGGCAGCTCCAAGACGACAGACCAGCTTTCGTGACTTCCCGTTCAGTTCCCCTTTCACCCGATATGGGGTGTGGGGTGGAGCTTGGCGTCACTTACCAGCTGTGTGACCTCAGGCAAGTTACTTAAACTCTCTGAGGCACCTTCTTCTCATAAGCCGAATGGGACTAATAATACCTTCCTTGTGAGTTTGGGGGAAGGTTAGAGACCATCCATATACATAAAAGATAAAGCTCATCATAAATTTTCAAAGAGTCAGTATCACTCCAGGAGGTGAGGATTTCATTCTAAAACTGTTTCTATAGTTGTGTATTTACATTGGGCTTACCTATAGGTCTACATAGTTACCGATCTAACAACAAAATTAATACATGCACAGCTTTTTTCAAAACCGTACACAGGAACACAAAACGAGCAGTAAACATCCCCACAGCTCCCAGCTCACACTCCAGAGTTCCCCACCAGCGACAGCTCCCTGCACAGCCTCGTGGAAGTTTTCATTACATAGGCAAGTATCTGGATGTAAATCATTTAAAAATTTACATGAACGGGATCACTGAACGAGGTATCTTGAGGAGCTTTCCATGTCAGAGCCTACTGATCCCTCTTTCCACTGGGTGGGTGTGGTAACACTTTCTCAACAGGTCCTCTGTTAGTGGGCTTTCAGGATCCTCACTCCTTTTTTTTTTCTTCTTTTTCCTATTTTGAACAACACTCTTACATCTTTGTTAGCTTATGTTAAGAATTCATAAAAAAAAACATTAGGTTGGAACACCTGGGTGGCTCAGTGGGTTAAGCCTCTGCCTTCAGCTCGGGTCATGATCTCAGGGTCCTGGGATCGAGTCCCGCATCGGGCTCTCTGGTCAGCGGAGAGCCTTCTCCCCCACCCCACCCTACCTACTTGTGATCTCTCTCTCTCTCTCTCTCTGTCAAATAAATAAATAAAATCTTAAAAAAAATTAAGATCCTAGGAATTTCTGGGTCCAGATGTATGAGCTTTTTAAAAAGGGGTAGGTTAACAGACGCCGGGGTGGCTCAGCGTCTGACTCTTGGTTTCAGCTCAGTTCATGATCTCAGGGTCCTGGGATTGAGCCCTAAGTCAGGCTCTGTGCTTGGCGGGGAGTCCCCTTCAGCATCTCTCTCTCTGCCCCTCCCCCCACATGCACATGCTCTCTCTCTCTCACAAATAAGTAAATAAATCTTTAAAGGAAAGATCTTCATGACACTGTTTAATGGGAAGAAGCAAATGCCAGATGAATATATATATAATGGGGTCCTCGTTTGCTTTTTAAATAAAGGAGGAAGGGGGAGAGAGAAGAGGGAAGCAGAGGGAGAGGAAAAGAGAGAGGAGGGGAGGCGAGGGAAGGTGCCACTCTCTGTGTAATCCTAGCCCTCTGTGTGCCCGAGGGGTTACAAATGGTGCTGGGCTGCACCCTGACGGGTGTTCACAGAGCCTCCCTCCTGGCCTACTGCCAAATTTCGGCACAGTCATACATGAGAAGCTTTGGGCAAGTGCAGAAAAGATGACTATCCTTTTTGTGATTATTTTTTGAAGACATTGGAAGCATTTAGCTCAGACAGAGAGAGCCCGGTCCAGGCACTGGGCAGGACGATGCTGGTCCCCACTTAAGACCTGTGCTACCCCTGCCATCCCGCTCTGCCCCAGAAGCTGGCCTCCAGGGACCACCTTAATCCAGGTTCAAGTGGGGAGCAGGGCCAGGAGTCAGGGGAACGCTACCTGCCCCTCCCTTTGGCTCACCACCAAAGGGACCTGCTTTTTTCTGCTGTGGCCACAGCGTCTCCAGCACAGAGCCTGGCACAGCCCAGAATTCCCCATCAGTGTTTACAGAATGAATGAACCCATGCGCAGACCCATAAATGTCCACAAAAGAAAGAGACTTACCTCTACTTATAAGCCTCTCAAGGCTCCTCACGCTGTTCAAACGGCTGACACTTTGCCCAGACTGGAACTCCCCCATCACCATAGGTCACCTCAGTCCCTCGGGGGACCCTTGAAGTCCCAACCAGTGTGGTTATGTGAAGGGCCTTCCGTGAAGGGCCCAGTGTCCCCATGTGCCCCAGAAGACTAGACAATAGCCACGACTGGTTATTGAGTGACTGAATCTGTGGGTTCTGATGGCTTGCTCTGCCAGGAGGACAACTCCGCCATTTTGCCCCCTTTTTGAGCCAAGGACTGAACTTTGCCCTTCACCGAAGAGAAGAAGATTCTTCGAAGCCCAAAGAGGTTGATCCATGCACCCAAAGCCACATGGCCCCCCTGCTGGGCAGGCATGCAGGACACTCAAAAAATCAGGAACAAAACAGGAGGAGCACTGGGGGCACTGAGATGGGAGCACTCCCTCTGCCTGAGGGGGGTCACTGCCGACATCACAGGGCCTCAAGAAGGGTAGGTAAGAGCTGGCCAGCTGGGCCGGAGTGGCCTCGGCTTTCCCAGGAGAGAGAACTGCCAAAGGCAAGGCCTGGGGTCCTCAAAGTGCCTTGGAGAACCCCGCATGTGTGTGCACAAGGCCGACAGGGAGGGTGGGGGAGGGGAGGCTTGTTCCCAGCTCCGGAAACTGGGGACTGGGGGGGCCACTCCTGGGACCAGGAGAGGGGAGCCGGTGGGGGTGTCAGGGTGGAAGGAGCCAGACAAGGGGGTAGGGGGAGGACCATATAAGCCCCAACTGGCCTCAGCCTCCAGAGACTCCTGACCCCCTTCCCCAGAAGCTCGGAGGCCAGCTGGGTAAGAGTGTGTCTGGGGCCCGCCTGTGAGGGAAACACAGCCCAGACTGGGGTGGGGGGTATGGGGAGCTCTGTGGGGAGCACAAGACACCTGAAACCCAGAGCTGACCCAAGTTTATCAGGATGACAACTCACTCAGAGGATGGGGTCAGAGAAGGTGCTGAGGTCATCAGGGTGGGCTCCTTGGACAGACACGCTCTAGACAGCCCCACCCATCCCCACTTCCCTGTCCCTGGGTCTCCTGGGGGACAAGGAACCAGCTGCTCACCTGAGGCCCAGAGCAGGAGGAGTGAGAGAAGCAGGACCCCCAGAGCCCTGGGCGTCATCATCCTTGGGCGGGCTTGCCCACGCTGGCCAGAGCCCTGTGTCTGAGCGTCCCTCAGGTCCCAGGCTCTGTGGTGTGGCCTGTTCCCACCTCCCTCCCCCCCCCCCCCCCCCCCACTGCTCAGTGTCATGCTTCCTGTGGCCTCTTTCTCGGCCTTCCTGCTCCACGCCACCATCAGTTGGGTTGTGAAAGGCTAGTGTGGGGAACTGGGCTGCGCTCCTATCTCACCCCACCCTGTGACCCATCTACAGAGGGGCCTGCTCAGCCCACCCAGGGACACTGCTAGGGGCTGTGAAGTTGGGGTCCAGCAGCCACAGAGGCTTCCATACCCAAGCAGACCCCTGGGGAAGGGTGACGAGCGCAGGCTTTGGAGTCAGACACACCTAACTCAGACCCTCTTCTCAGTACCTGGGGACCTCTCTGACCCTCAGTTTCTTCTTCTGTAAAGCAGAAACAGCAATAGGGCTGCCATAGAGGGCTGTGTTGGGGTTCGAGGAGACCGGTAACATGCCAGGCACAAGCCTCGCTTGTGAGTGGTGTTAATGCACCTTCCCTCACACCTATGGGTTGAACAAGACTGGGATCAATCCCATGACTGCTGGGGCCCCAGGGGGAGAGGACAAGCTCTGCAGGCCCCAGCCTTCCCTGCACAGACCAGATAATAGGAGAGGTGGGACGGGGTGTGCAGGAGTGTGGGCTTGGAGGTTGGTGAGGCCTGAGCTGGCGTCTGTCTTGGGCTGACATCTGTTCTGGCCACATGGCGGCTGGGTGAGCTTGGGCGAGCTGTCTGCTGCTCTGAACCTCTTACAAGACATGCAAAGAGCTCGTGAGATCATGCGAGTGGAACTGTCCAGACCACCAGGTGTGGCCACGGTCATTATCTCTTTACAACTGTCCCCATTGTGCAATTACTGTCCTATCGCCCAGCTGATCACTGGTGGCCCAGACGGGAAGTGGGAGCAGCAAACACACATGGGGGGCAGCACAAGGGAAGGGGAGGGGCTGACCACTCAGGCTCCAGATCTGATGGCTCTGAGGAAGTCGTATGGATGAGGCCAGGTCCCTTGGTGTGGTCCCATGGTCACTGCAAGATCAAAGGTAGAGAGCACCCCATCAAGAAGGCATATCCCCCTAGCATCCCCCAGCAGGGCCCGAGCTAGACATGCTCTACCCTGGGGGTCTGAGGACCCCCCAGCCCCTTCCCCTTCCTCCCACACAGCGTGCAGACAGGATTCTGTTTCCCACAGGCCCTCTGGACCTGGGGAGGGGTGGGGAGAGGATGTCGGGGACACTCATAGGCCATGGGGGGCAGGGGGGCTCTGGCATGGTACCCCAGGCACTTCCTCTGCGGGGAAGACTTGGGGGCAGACGGGAACCACGGGGCCTGTCCCACCTCCCTCCCGGTGGCAGCCAGGTGAGGTGAGATGGTGGACAAGCGCTCTATGAGCTGCAACCTGCTGACCCACCGCTGGGGACCCATCCTGGCACAATGACCCTCAGAGGGCTCACGGGGGCCTGTTTGTGAAGAAGGGCCTGGAAGGAGGGACCCAGCGCATCCAGCACACCTGGAAAGACAGGACCAGGGAGTGGGGGAGCAGCTGGGAAAGTGGCAAAGTTAGCTGGGCAGGGCCATTACCCTGGCATCACCTCTCTTGGTCCTTACTGGGGCTCGGGGCGGGCCTGGAGCCACGTGCAAAGCCCTGCCCCCCCCCTCAAATCCCAGGGCAGGTGGAACTGTAGCTTTGCTCTCTGCCAACTCCCACCAGTGCCAGCTTGTCCCAGTGGCTCCGGGAAGGCTCCAGTCTCCAGGAACAAGGTCTCCAGGTTTCTGGCTGCCTCAGTCCATGTTTCATGCCGTAGCGATGTCTGCGCACGCAAACCTGGTTGGGTCCTTCTGAGAACAGCGGTCCTGCTCTCCAAGGCCTTACAGCCCAGTGAAGTGCACAGTGAGAACCATCAAGTGGCCTGTCCAGCACTTGATGTCCTGAGAAGGGGGACCCCAGCCCGAGGCCCTCCCTGCTACTTCCTGATTGGCCTGTTTTTGTCAGTGACTGTTGATAGAAGCACAGAAGAAAGTGCTCCAAATGTTTACACTGGTTTATTAGGCAATAACAACAAGCTGATTTTTATTTCTTTTTCTGTGTGCTCTTCTACAGTTTCCAAATTCTCTACAATGAACATCTACTTCTTTCAATTCAAAAGACAAATGAGATAATGCTTAAAAAGAAAGTCCTTCCCCATCCTTAAGGCTGAGATCCAGATCAAATGTTGCCTCCTACAGGAAGTCTTCCTGGATCCCCAGCAAGGAATGGTGGCTCCCCTCATAGTTCCAACCTCTTAAGAGCTCGTTGGGCTCTCTGCCAGGGCCACCAGGGGATGCACGCCTCCGTCTTCCGAGTACTGGGGCAGAGATAAATTTGCACTGCTACGCTCCACAGTTCTTGCCACAAGAGGGCTTTGAGAGAAGCTGGGGGTCCGTTTGAGGGGTGGGCTTGGCAGTGGTGACCAAGGGCAATGCAGCTTATAGAAAGGCCCAGAGGGACAGATAGATCTAGCCCAGCCCAGAATGTCTACACTAAGCCTGAGTCAAGGGCGGGCAAAGGCCGGTCCAGTAAAGAAAGGTTTATAACAGGCACCCAGCCGCTCTTGGGAGCCACAACCCAAAATCCAGCCCTGGAATTGGGACCCTGCCCAGGACTGAGTGGGGGGCTGGAGAGTGAGGGCTAGGGAGGCTGACGGAAGGCCCTGGGCTCAGAGGTAGAGGAGCTTCTGCTATGCTCCAGGAGGGGCTCCCCTCCTCCAGGGATCTGGCTCAAAGCTCTGCCCCAACCCCATGCGCCCTGAGTACCACTCTCAGGCTAAAATGACAGGAGCGCAGAGTGTCCTTGTGGAGATCGCCAGAGACAGAGCGGCTAGGGCCCAGGGCTTAGGATGCTGCCAGGCCTCACAGGACCAGGACTCGGCCTGGGGGCCCGTGGGCTCCCACCTGTAGCCATGAGGGCTGGGCCCAGTGGTGGTGAGTTCAGCTGGGCCTGCGGTCCCCAGTGAGGACAGCAAGGTTACGGTCCCTCTCCTGAGCCCCTGTGAGCTGGACTGGGGCACCGAGCAGTCCGCAGGCCAATCCGGAAGGCCTGCCTGGGAGTCTGGCTGCCAAGGGCAAAAGCCCCCTCCCCCCGGAGGAGCTTGGGCCTTCTCCCGGAGTCTCTGGCTGCCCTAGGTGTCAGGCCTGGCTGTGGGGGTGGCAGGCGGGGGTGAGGCGAGGCCGCATCTCTGTTTCCTCACGCAGCTCCTGGTGGGTGGCGGCGGCCTAGATACGGCTGGACGAGGTGCTGCCCGAGCTGATGGGGAGCCTCGCGCTGTCTGAGCTGTTCTTCAGCGGGGAGGGCCCGCCCCGGGCCTGCAGCCGCATAGCCCAGTACCAGAGGAAGATGAAGAAACCTGCAGGCAGTAATGGGATGCGGGGTTCAGTGGGTGGGGGGTCGTCCTGCCCCTTCCCCTCCTCCCTACCCAGGCTACCAGCATCCCTGTGACTAGGAGGGGACCCCACCATGCACCAGACACTGTGCAATGGCCTGAGCCCCAACTCATTTTATTCTTTCAAGGTTCTCATGAGGTCAGGCCTACTCATTACTATTCTGTTTCACAAACAAGGAAACTGAGGCCCAGGGAGGTAACAGGCCTTGGTGGAACCAGGAGTTAAACCCTGGTATTCAGACTCCAGACTACCTGTTTAAGTACCTCTGGGACAGAATAGAGGGGCATGTGTGTGTGTGTATCTGTCTGTCTGTCCTTGGGTGGTGGCGGTGTGTAGAGGGGTGCAGGTAGAAGAACCCCGCTGGCATTAAGCCCCGGCCCTCATGATCCAGCCCCCCACTCCACTCCCCTCTGCCCCTCCAAATATCCTTCAGCCTCACTGCCCCTCACCATTCTTCCATCCAACAGCCTAGCGCTAACCTCAGGACCTTTGCGCTTGCTCCTCCCTCTGCCTGGCACACTCCTTCCTTAGACCAGACCTCCTCAGCCTGTGCCACACACATGTATCCCCAGGTATCTGTTACAATGCAGATCTGATTCAGCAAGTCTGGGGCAATCAGAGCCTATACTTCTAGCAAGCTCCCCATGATGCTAAGGCCCACGGGCTAGGCTCACACATGGAGTCACATGGCCCTTGGTCTCTCCCTGGCTGGACCCTTCTGTTGTCTTCAAATGTCTCCCACAGAGGCCTCAGCCCAGCCCAGATTTTTCATCACATCTTCACTTGAACTGCCCTCCTCTCAGAGGGGCTGCGTGCTTGCTTGTCACCCCAGGTCTTTCCCACAGGAGATGAGCTCCATGGAAGGAAGGCCCTCACCCAACCAGTTCACAATGTTAGCCCCAAGGCTTAACACAAGGCTGACACAGAGCAGGTACTCAAGAAAGACTTGTCAACTATGGCCTGGCGGGGAGGGGCATTTTACAGCTGGGAAGACCGAGGCCTAGAGAAGGGAAGCCTTCGATTTGAGTCCATATCCTCCCTGCCCTGTGCCCCACGTGTGGGCCCCGGGCCTGGGGGCCAAGCGGTGGGGTCTTCTCCATGCCTACCTTGGAAGGAGGTGACGATGCTGAAGAAGTAGAGGACGACAAGCTGGAAGGTGCCGGAAGCGAAGGAGAAGAAGACCAAAGCCCAGGGCAGACCGAGGACCAGGCTGAGACCCAGCAGCGTCAGCACGTGGGGCCACTTCTGGGCGTGGGGGCGCAGCCGCAGGATCTGCACCACCATGGTGCCCAGCATGGCCGTGTTGAACAGGAACACCAGGCTGAAGAGGCCCAGGTTGGTGACATGGTTGACCAGCGAGTCCCGGATCCAGCACCTGGGGGCAAGGGTTCAGCGCACAATGGCAGGGCTGGCACCTCAGTGAGCCCGAGTGCCCAGAGACACCGCGGACTCCTGGGGTGACATTATTTTCCAGCTCTCCTCTGTGCCTTCATCCTCTCCAGCCTATTCCCACTCGTGCCAAGAAACCC